AGAGAGAGAGAGAGAGAGAGAGAGAGAGAGAGAATGATACATCTGGATGAGCCTTCAGTTTCAGAGAGTGACCACACTGATTAAAAACATCCTGAGAGATTTGGGGCAATATTATTTGAATGTTTTTCCACTGACCACATGCATGAATCAAAGGGAATTTTGAATCAGCCCAGAGTTTCCCCCTCTGCCACTGGGGCTTCTCCTTTTAAAAAAATCAATTCAGATATAGAAATGGGAGGATGAGCTGAATGAGCACACAAATGCACCTTCCCCATCACCTCTTGCTTCATGAAGTAGGTCAAGCCATGTGTGCATGCTCTCACCTCTTGCCCCATAAGGATGATACACACACCTACCTTCCCCTTTGCCTTTTGCTTCATGTGGGAGGATTAGCCGACTGCAAACACACATCTTCCTCCTTGAATTTTGGGTTTTTCTACAGCTTCTCCTCTCTCCATGGACAGAGAAGAGGAAATCAGCACACAGTCAGGGAACATCATGAGCAAAGCTCATTGACAAGATTTTTCTCCTCTCCCCCTCCTTTGTTATTTTTAAAACACAGTTAAGTGCAAAGCCTTTTAAAAAACCAGCTTATGGCAAAGCTAAGAAAATTAGAACTCCTTTATTACAGCTTGCTACAGTTCTCTTTTAACAATGCCACCCACTGGGCTACTGCAAACAAGGTGTAAACAAAACTTCCTTTCTCTCCCTGTGTGGCCAGTTAAGGCTGAAACCTGAATTCCCTAGTGTGACTTCACAGTGAATGCATTTGAGTGAATCTACATTTCCCTAGCTGTGTAGTCATACCCTCAATTGAGCACAACTGATCCTTTGGAAAAAGAATATGATGTTGAAAATCTCATCCAATATGATGAAAACAATAAAAAGGAAGGCACCAGAAGAGCAGTTGAATCTCCTGCTGAAACCAATGGAAAACAAACAACAGATGGGAATTAAAGAAACAGAAACATTACTCAAGGTCAAGCATAACATGAATGCAATTGATTCTAAGCAAATGAGGAACATAATAAATGAAACTTTAAAATAACATGAATGTATGGAGGAAGTAATTGAGATGTATTTCATGCATGCCCCTACTGAACTCCCTCAGGACAGGAAGGTAACAAATGCAGGCTCTTAGAGGGTGACAACACAGCCATTTAACCTGTTTTTTGGTCTGCTGAGGGAATGGGCTAAATTGCTTCTAAAGCTGACAATCAGATGGCATATTTGCTAGAACAAACCAGCCCACCCCCACAGCATTCTTTCCCACATCATTCTGGGTCCTCATTGGGGCTTTTGTGTGTGTGTGCATGTGCACGTGTGCGTGCATGTGTGTGCATGTGCATGCATGTGTGTGCATGTGCATGCATGCTGCGCACGCACGCATGCATGCGCACATCCCCATGTGTGCGTGCGTGTGTGTGTGTGCAAATAGGATTGCTTCATTTTGGTCCTTTTCCAGCACATGTGATCACTGGAAATAAACCAAAGTGAGCCTTCTATTGTCAATCTGTTTTCCTCTTTGAGTTTCCCATATCATGAAGTGTTTTAAGAAGACATCTATTTCATAATACTGGGAAATTAAACACTTCCTCTGCTCCTCGGTGGAGGGGCAAAGAAAATTTTTGTTGGTTTGTTTTGCTTTGTTTTTTGTTTTTTTACACTATCTTAAGGCATTGTTGATATTGGCCAGTAGTAGATTCAGCTGTAGCCAGGTTCTGGGAGGAAGTTTCCAATTTTCCTTTTATTTTTTATAAGTAATGTAGTGTACAAACCATGCCCTAACACAGTGTAATTTAAAAAAAAAACTCTGTCGCTCCATCAAGAAGCAGAGAAAGTGTTTAATTTCCCAATAACATGGAATAGCTATCTCCTTAAGCTACTTCATAGTATGGGAATTCAGAGCGGAAGGAGCTGGACCATATACGGTCACTTGAGGTGTTCATGCCCTTTGGATGTGAGGATCGCACCAAATGGCATACTGGACCTTGACTCCACCTGAAGTGACCCTATTTAGACTGATTCAATGAGCCCATGTAGAGAGGTCCTTAGACTTCCAACCATCCAGACAATTGTGCATCATTAGTAAGCAGAAAATGCAAAGGGCTATCCCAACAGAATATTTCAACACCATTGAAAACTGCTTCACGATTAACATTTGTGCATAGGAGGAAAGGCAGCTATTGTCAAAACACTCCCTTCTTCATTTGCTTTCTGCATTTTCTTCATTGCAACAGCTACGGCACAGAGCTGTGTTTACAAAATGCTGTGTTGCTGAGCAGCAGAAAACAAAACATTGTTCTTGACAATGCCATTAGCAAACTGGAGATCAATTAAAGGGAAGGGGAAGAAAATCTAAGGGGTGGTCTTATCTTTTAAAAAACCAAAACGTGTACTATCACTGCCAAGTATTCTTTATGCCCCCTTCCATAATGCAATAGAAGCAGAAGTGTGTGCGTGCCTAAATGTAATTGTAAAAAGTATGACATACTGTAGTAATGTGCCAATATTCTGTGTGTGGCATTAACAAGGAACTAGGTGCCCACTGTGGTATACTAGATAGAGTGGTGGAATAAGACTCAGGAGATCCAGGTTCATATCCCTCCTTGGCCATTGAAACTTACTGGGGGAGTAAATATCCTTAAATATCTCATTTACCATGAAAAACCTGCTAGGATTACCATAAATCAGTTCTGATTTGACAGCACAGAACAACAGACTGGGAAATAAATACAGAAGAAAGTAAATGTCACAAATTTGAATTAGTTAAGAAAAGTGGACTTGTTGCACCCCTTATATCACCCTCAAAGATTTCCTTCCATTGTTCCATTATTAATCAGGACCCCCCCCCCCCGGAATCCTCAAATATTACTTCACCCACAGGTCATGCTAGCTATAGGGGGCCGTAGCCCCCAAAATGTAACTTTTGTGGGTTCTATTCCTAATTTCACAGTATCCTTTCCCACATTGCATCTTCAATATTGATGGGATATACAAGACATCCTTCTTCAATTATTGGCTCACTCACATCTGACAAAGCCCTTTTAATCCCTAGTTTAAGTGAACAAACACAAATTTTATAATAGATCATTAATAAAGTCGCTACATTTGATCAGTAAGGAACACCATTGACATTTATTGTGTTTGGAAATGTGGGACAGAAATTGTTAAAATGAATGAATGAATGCTAGTCACTAAACTAGTGACTTAGCCCCACATCTTGGGGTGGCAAATTCCATAGTTCACACTGTATGCATGGGAAGTATGTCATGGGGTTTGTGTTGAAAAAAACTTTTCTTTTCTAAGGAACACTCACAGTCCTCGCTGTTTGCAGCAATTTAAGCAAGAATGCACAGAAGCTATATTTTGTATGAATCCTCAGTGGATTTGGGTTAACCAAATTAATTTTCCAATGCTTTCTGCCTCAGTGCTCTTGACCAAATAGAGAAGGGTTTGTAAATTCTTGAAATTCTACTGGTAATTCCTTCACTGCTTCTCTCTGTGTCCTGGTCCATTTCAGGAACATGGGGGTGGGGGTCAAGGGGAGGGAGTGTCAATTCTTCCTGTCAAATTTCTCAATAATGACCTTCGGAGATATCTTTGTACATATCTATGGATTGGTTTTGCACAAACCTCCTTTTTTCCTTCATTGACCAATCACTGGCCCAGAAGCTCAGTGAATTCACCTTTGTTGATATGTTGCTAGGCAATGCATCAGAGACAAAAGAGAAGAATATTCATTTCCCTAGCAACTCAAGATGCAAACCTACTACATTAAGCATGAAAGGAGACACTAACACCTAATGCTTTGCTTCTACTAATTCCTTCGTGAGCCCAGAGGAATCATGCAGGGGCTTACGTACTAAGATTTCAAGGTAAGATCAAATATGAAGAAACTATAAATAAGCAATGAGGGCTATAACCTCTCCTCTGTTTTTTACACAATTGAACTACAGATCCACGAGTCTTTTTTTAATAGAAACAGTATACAAATGTGCATTACTATTAATGTATTTGCTGTGTTACATAATTTACCTTCTATTGAGATCTCTTGCATTTACTGCTATGATCATCAGTGTTTAGATTTGACATAATTTTTCTGTTTTCAGAAGTGAAATGAAAATCAATGATAATCATGATGGTGATGATGATAATGGTAATGGTGTCATCACTATACTGCACCAGAGGGAGAAGTCCTATATTGAGTGCTAGTGGCTTTCAGAGCCCAAAATAATAATTCTCAATGTCATTCTATTAATCATCATCCGTCCTGAGCCGGTGCTGAATTTTTGTTCTTTAAATGCTGTGCCACCTGAAAAATAGTTCCAGCTCACAGAAAATAACAGAACAAAACTGTATAATGGTTGCATCGAAATGTAAGTTTAGAATTAAGTGTTAAATTGTAATCACTGTGCCCTTAACTTCCAACATTTTAGAAATGACATTTCTCAGACAGTGAGTACTGATGATCCATTCCTGACCACTGGCTAAATGTATAGTCAATAAGCTGAAATAACGTGTTGATAAAAAAGCCAAACAGTATTTGGATATCACATACTACATTTAACTTATTGTTTGTTTCATATAATATAGGTGCATATATTGGCACACACGTCCTGAAATTATTATTAAGAGAGCTATTACAATTATTATTTACAGTGTGCTAGTAAACTTTTTTTTCTACTTCTGCAAGTACTTAGCAGTCCAGTCTTTTGTATACGTAGTCAAAAGCGGAAGTGGGTTGGCTTCTAACCAGATGAAGTTATTTTTGGCAGTACTGATCCTCAGTCCATATGTCATTTTGGTTATGTTTCTTCAACAGCTCCCATTCAATGGAGTTATTTTGTATTATTGCCATAGTATAGTTTCCCTGTACTATCTCAGACTTTAATGAGGAACTGGTATGTGAAGAGTTATAAGACAAGAAACAAGTAAGACTAAGGCAATAAATGGAAAACAGCCCTTGCAGAGAAGAGAATTAGGAAAGTGCATAGATTTGTTGTTGTTTAGTCATTAAGTTGGATCCGACTCTTCATGACCCCACGAACCAGAGCACGCCAGACCCACTGCCTCCTGGAGTTGGGTCAAATTCATGTTGGTAGCTTCGATAACACTTCAGACCATCTCATCCTCTGTCGTTCTCTTCTCTTCCTGCCTTCACACTTTCCCATCATCAAGGTCTTTTCCAGGGAGTCTTCTCTTCTCATGAGATGGCCAAAGTATTGGAGCCTCAGCTTCATTCAGCACCACAATTCAAAAGCATCAATTCTTCAGTGGTCGGACTTCTTTATGGTCCAACTCTCACTTCCATACATCACTACTGGAAAAACCATAGCTTTGACTATGTGGACCTTTGTCAGCAAGGTGATGTCTCTGCTTTTTAAGATGCTGTCTAGGTTTGTCAGCGCTTTCCTCCCGAGAAGCAGACATCTTTTAATTTCGTGGCCGCTGTCACCATCTGCAGTGATCATGGAGCCCAAGAAGGTAAAATCTGTCACTGCCTCCATATCTTCCCCTTCTATTTGCCAGGAGGTGATGGGACCAGTGCCATGATCTTAGTTTTTTATTTTTGATGTTGAGCTTCAGACCATTTTTTGTGTCTGGGTGAAAAGAACAAGTAGTGTCCGAAGGTGAACCTGTGAGTGGGAAGACAAACAGGGTACACTGGGGGGGGGCACAACAGCCCTGCTTTCTAAGGCCCTCTTGACTTCACTCTCCAGCAGTGGCTCAAGGTCAGCAACCACAATATCTGGGTTGTCCGGGACATCCGGATCTTTCTGGTATAAGTCCTCTGTGTATTCCTGCCACCTCTTCTTGATGTCTTCTGCTTCTGTGAGGTCTCTCCCATTTTTGTCCTTTATCATGTTCATCTTTGCACAAAATGGTCCTCTAATATCTCCAATTTTCCTCAACAGATCTCAGGTTTTTCCCTTTCTATTATTTTCCTCTATTTCTTTGGACTGTTCATTTAAGAAGGCCCTCTTGTCTCTCCTTGCTATTCTTTGGAAGTGCATAGATAGAGTGTATAGAGGTAGCCAATTGTGAAATCATCAAGGCTCAACAAGAACAGTTATAAGCTTGATCCAGTAGATTGGATCTTTGGCATCTCTTTCTGGCTAGAACATCTGCCAAAGAATAATATTCTTACAATAATACAGCATATTTTCTTATTATTTGGTCTTATTTATATACTGCCAACTATCTACATGGTGCATTATACAGAACAGGTATTACAGGCCCCCACCACAAGGGGCTTATGGTCTAAAGTAGATCCAAAGAAATGGTTGAGTGGGGGTGGGGGGAGGAGAAATAAGGCATAAGTAAGCTAAGGGAGAAAAAGTCATTACTTCAGTTTTGCATACTTTGGCAGTCTTAGTAGAGGGATGGAGGGGCAAGTATCCAAAGGCATCTCTGAAAATGTGAGATTTGAAGAACAGCTTGAGGTGTTCTAGGAAAGCAGATCTAGGTAAAGGGGGAAGCAAGAGGAACTAGGTTGGGGTCATTTCAGGGGGTAGGAAACGTGTGGATGACTAAAAGTTTGGGGCTAGACGCAGGAAGTCAACAGGAAGGAGGTTTTGAGCTAGAAGAACACATCGATGTAGAGGGGAAAGGCCATGAAAAGTTATGATGGATAGAAGCTTATGCAGAATCCATAAATGGACTGGAAGCCAGTGAAGAGATTTCAGCTTCGTCATTAGAGAGAGAGAGAAAGAGTGAGAGAGAGAGAAGAATAATTTTAGCACAAGAGTGCCAAATGGATGTGAAAGGCTGTAAGGTTGGACGGCTGGTTACAAACAGCACACCATTAAGAGCCGGAATGACATCAGTGTTGAGGAGACCATGATTCCAGCAGATCTAAGTGACTGAGCAATCATATTTGCCAGTGAAATCTGGTTTATTTCCCAATGGCCAATCAAAAAACAAAGCAAGCTAGGTTATTAAATACTGGAGGCATGGAAAAGCTTAAGTTCAAAACTTAAGGAATTCCTGTTTAAATTATAGGCTATCTGAACTGAGTAGTTTGACCCAAAGATGTGATTAAAGATTTGAGAGGGGGGAAAGAGTACAGTAGTCAAGCAAGAGATGGCTGTTCCTGAATACAGTGGTGCCTCGACTTATGAACGTCCCTACTTACGACCATTTTGAGTTACGACCAGTTCCGACCACAAAATTTTGCTTCTACTTGCAACTGGAGCTTCCACTTATGAACAGGTGGTGACGAGGCTGCTTCTTTGCAGCTTTTTCGCCCCAGCAGTTAGAGAGTGTGGGTCGGAGGAGGTTTGGGACTGCCTCCTTCTCCTTCTGAGAGAGAGTGTGTGTGTTTGCAGTACTTACGACCATTTTGAGTTACGACCAGTTCCGACCACAAAATTTTGCTTCTACTTGCAACTGGAGCTTCCACTTATGAACAGGTGGTGACGAGGCTGCTTCTTTGCAGCTTTTTCGCCCCAGCAGTTAGAGAGTGTGGGTCGGAGGAGGTTTGGGACTGCCTCCTTCTCCTTCTGAGAGAGAGTGTGTGTGTTTGCAGTGAGAACTGCCTCCTTCTCCTTTTGTGTGTTTGCAGGGAGGCTTCAAACTGCCTTGTAAGGTAAGGTGCTGTTTTCTGCTT